TCTATAATGAGATTATCAAACATGTCCCAATAGAATTCAGATTTACTGGCCTAGAATCAAAGACTGGGAATGTTCTTTGAGATCACTATACAAAATTCATGTCTAACAATAGGAAATGATTAAATAAATGATACTCCATTCATGTGATACAGCTTTATGCTGTTAGTAAATATCATCATGTTAATCATAAGAAGGAAACAAGCCTGTGATTGATGTTAAGTAATAAAATTTTGAACAAGTTGACTGGAAATTTTCAATTGTGTATGACTCCCTTTTTATAAGTTAGGGACTTGTAAAACATTTTGCAAGGATTATTTTTAATATGAAACTTTAATTATTCAGTGGAGAAAAAGTATGTTACGTACCAGATGCTGTTTTGTCTACTTTGTTATAGTTTTACTGAATTTGGGAATGCTGCTTGTACTTAATTATGTTCATTCATAAAAGAATCTTTATAGTGAAGGTAGCCCATCATTTTAATGAAAAACAGTAAAAGAACTGATAGGTTTTGTTAGTAAGCCCACTCATGTCACAGACTTATGGACTCATTTTCCTTTTTTTTTTTGGAGTTGGAGTCTCACTCTGTCACCCAGACTGGAGTGCAGTGGCCGCTCCCGCCCACCGCGGCCTGGACCTGCTGGGCTCCGGTGATCCTTTCGCCTCAGCCTTCCGAGTAGCTGGAACTACAGGCGCACGCTGCCACACCCGGCTAATTTTTGATTTATTGTAGAGATGAGGTCTCGCCAAGTTGCCCAGGCGGGTCTCGAACCCGCGGGCTCAGGCAGTCCGCTCACCTCAGCCATCCAAAGGCACGGGATTACAGGCTGAGCCACCGAGCCCGGCTTCATTTTTCTTAACAAGTAAATAGTATTCCCTTACAGCTGTTGTTTAGTTTTTATTTTATTTGTATGAAAATAATTGATTTTTTGTTTCCAATGATAGAATTAATGAATACTTACTGTAAAAAGAAAAAAGAGATCAAAGAACTTATAAAAAATTAAATTTCCCAGTCCCACCATGCAGAATAAATTAATATTACTATTTTGATGGTTTTTTTTCATTTTTTTCTGTGTACTTGTGTATATGTGTTTTTTTCCCAAAACAATCACACAACTTGGTAATTTAAGGAAGTGAAAACTCTTCAACACTTTGTTTGAAAAAGGAATCCAGTGCAGTCAGAAGTTTTATTATATTACTATTTCTGTACAGAGTAAAGGGCAGCTTTCTTGAAAAAAAGCTTTCAAGCATTTACATCTTCTAAGATTATAGGAACATGCATTAAAACAATTACCAGGGCAAATTATCAAGTATGCTATCTCTTCAGAATTAGAGATACATGTTTTTTTGCATGGCCTAAGGTTACTCCTAAGGACAGATTTATAATAGTAGGAAAAATAAGTGGGGATTGTGGTAAACATTTAGACATATTGGACAGAAAAACTTGATTGAACTTTTTTACAGTGTTCAATGTGATACCTTATCAGATCAGAATTCTTAAGATGGTTTTATGATGCAGAATGGTATCCCTTTGGAGCTACTAGGGATGAAAGCAAGGGGAGCTTCTTGATTTTTGTGAATCTTTTTTTGCTAATGTTATTAAGAAGCATTACATTTTTAAGCCTAGTCTAAAATTTATCAGTATTGTAAGAGCAATCCTGTAAATCTCAAGTATACTTTTAAGAAAAAAAGGAAAGGACATCCCAGTATTAAAATTATTAAAGAAAATTAATAAAGATAATTTATTAATGAATGTAAAAATGTTAATGGAAAGTTATTAAACATAAATGAAATAAGGAGCATGTAATGCTTTTCATTGTACTTAGTGCTTATAACACGCCATTTTAAGTGCTTTATATGTATTAACGTTCTTTCACAACAGCTCTATAAAGTAAATACTGTTATTATCCCCCAATTTACCTATAAGGAAACAAATACTGAAAATAAAGTAACTTGTCCAAATTCTCATAGTTAATATCCTGAATCCTGACACAAAGCCTGTGTTTTTAATATTTGACCACCTTCCAGCACTGACCATATTATTTTAATCTGCCTGCCATATTTAGTAATTTATCATTAATATCTTCCTTCATTAATTAAAATGGACCAGTATCATAATAATTAATAATTTCATAATATGCTCTCATATAGTAGAACATAATTTATTCAAGTTGTTGCCTATTGTTAAGTATTTGATTTTTGGTTGTCATTAATTATTCCTTGAACTTCCTTGTATATGTTTACAAATGTTTTCTAAGAATAAATTCCTAGAAGTGGAATTTCTAGGTTGAATTATCAGACACATTATAAAGTATTAACAATATGCCATATCCTGTGTTAGTACTTGGAGGAATACGGTGGCCAAATGCTGTGATTGTTATCCCTAAGTTGTTTGTTACCTGTCAAGGTAGATACACCTATGCAGGAATAAGACTAAGATAAATGTGGTAAAAGTCATGGAAGAAGTTATATGGCTTGAGAGACTTTGTGGGAAGGAGACATCATCTGATTATAGCAAGCACTGTTAGGTTATGACCAAATGATACCAAACTCATGGGATTTCTGTGGGATAATGGATTCTACGTAACAAGCATTATACCTAACAGTTTTTATTCTCATGATGTTAATGCAAAGTGAGACAAACAGGACAAAAGGGCTCAGCAGCTCTTTGGAGGGCATCAGGGCTAAAAATGACTGGATTAAAAGCAAGATAATTACATTGGTCAAGAAGTCATGAGAAACAGCAGCAGCAGCAGCAGTGAAAGAAGGCATTGGTTGAGGATGGTCAGCCATTCTTTTATAGGCAGAATTCCAGCATGCATGAACAAACATGGAAATCATGGAGTCAGTTCAGATTTTGGGAACTAATATAAACAAAAACAAATACAAGCATAGCAGCTATTTTTAGCGTATCCAAGTTTAAGGAATGACTTTAAAAAGTGTTTCTTTTGCCTGTTTATTGACTGATTGAGTCAGGTTTCACTCTGTCACCCAGGCTGGAGTGCAGTGAGCACAATCACAGTTCACCACAACCTTGTCCTCTTGGGCTCAGGTGATCCTTCCGCCTCAGTATCCCAAGTAGCAGGGACACAGGAATGTGCCACCACAACCAACTAAGTAAAAAAAACTTTTTTTTGTAGAGACAAGATCTCTCTATTTGGCATAGGCTGGTCTTGAACTTCTGGGCTCAAGCAGTCCTTCCTCATCGGCCTCCCAAAGTGCTGGGATTACAGGCGTGAGCCACTGCACTTGGCCGTTTCACCTATTTAAGGAAAGATTTATTTTCTTTTCAAAAAGTTAAATATATATATATTTTTTAAGTATATATGGCCATATAAAATGATGAAGTAAATGTAAGCAAAAAGAAGAGAAATCAAGGTCCCAAGTCTTTTGATGCCTCTTTTTGCTGTTTTAAGTGTATACTTTGCAAATATATTCATAATGTCTATTTCTTTTTTTTAAAGATTATGTATCTTGAATATTTTGCGTAAATATTCTAAATGTAGCACTTAGGGATTAATACACACACACGCACACACACATACACACATACACACACACGTTTTTGCTGTGCCATAACAGGATTACACTACTCACAGTTTTGTTGCTGCCTTCTTCACTCAGCAAACTGTAGAAAACATATTTCCATCTTTCCGATTAAAGATCAACAGTTTTTTACTCTGTGGATACTTTATGATTTATTTAATGTTTTCTGTTGAAGGACATTTAGGTTCTTTCCAACTTTCTTCATTATGAACAGTGTCTGTCAATGCATTGCTACATACAGCTTTGATCACATGTACAATTCTTTATCACAAGAGTAAAAATTCTGAGTCATAGAGTTTGCCTGGTTTAAATGCTGCTTATGCATATTTAAAAATTTACATAAATCTGCAATACACTGGTCAGAGTGTTCATTGCATACTTGCTAATGTGAATGTCACTACTCTGAGATAATTTTTTAGTTGAGTTGATGATGTATTATTTTTATTTAGTGAGTCATGCATGTCAGGTTTTTCTCATTGGAATAAGAAATTCTGGGTTTTAGAGGCTAGAGCTAGAGTAAATGAAAGCTGTCTTTTTGGTTAAGAAAAATAAGGATTCCAAATTGCTATGCTACTTATAAACTGAATTTCTACAAGTGATTTTATTTCTCTTAGTGTGAATTTCTGATGCATTACTCGAATAGAATAATTATTATGCTAAATAGCAATCCAAGGGATGTATAGATATAATTGATATACATAAAGCACCTTGTCACATGAAAGTTTCCTTTTTTTTTTTTTAAGAGAGAGAGGGTTTTGCTCTGTTGCCTAGGCTGGAGTGCACTGGCACAATCATAGCTCACTGCGACCTTGAACTCACTGCAACCTTGAGTTCAAGCAATCCTCTTCCCATCTCAGCCTGATTAGGTAGGACATTTGCCACCAAATGCCAAGTTTTTTACTTTTATTTTTATTTTTGTAGAGCTGGGGGTCTCACTGTGTTGCTCAGGCTGAAGTTCTTGATACGTAGATATTTCTTATTTGTCAAACTGTCAAGAGCATGAATCCACCATGCCTCTTCAGCCTAGCTTGTGAGAAAGAGAATGGTAAATGAAGTTATACAGGAAAACAACGTGGATGGTTCTGATTGCAAATCGTGTGTGATGAGCCCAGAGGATTTTGGAAGTTGATTTCTTGGCTGCAGGCAGCCCAGGGCAGCCAGTGCAGCAGTTTTGCTGTGGTAATGACTGCCAGGCTTGGTCCTTAAGAATTTCTCTCTTTATGTCTGGTGAATCCAAGTAGGCCTGCAAGACTTTGAAGGAGATTTTGGTTTAGGTGATGTGATCCCTTATCAGCTCTGGAATTATCAAGAGATTAGAGTTGTCCAGACTCCCTCAATCTTTGTATGTGTGTGTGGTGGAGAGATTAGAGGAGGGGAAAGATCATAGTACTCAGGTCATTTGGGGAGTTCTGGGGCCTAACTGATCTCATGACCTTGTTTTCCTCCCCCTAGCTCTGGCCTCTGTGGACTCTGCTTCTTCTGACAAATAAACTCCAACAAAGACTGACTGGTTCTTGAATTTCTAAACCATGGCCCATGTAAGTTACTGGTTTTTTTCTCTCTCTCTCTTTTTTTCCTCCTCCTTCTGGAAAAAGTATTATGTCAAAGTCCTATGAACATTTCTTTATTCTCCAACTTCTTCCCTATGAGCACCCCATCCAATAACCTTTTTCCAGTTCTTCCAAATCCAGTGGGAGATGAACCACAGTGCCTGTGCTATGAACATATTTTTTCTCATCATTGTTCATTTATTTGTTGAACAAACATTCGTTGAACAAATCATTCAGTATCTTTTTTATGTGCTCAGTCTTCTGTTAAAAGCTGCAGTGTAGGACAGCCCCCTTGGGTCCCCTCCCACTGTGGGAGCTTTTCTGTCCTCTTAATAAATCCTGCTTTAAAAAAAAAAGCTGCAGTGGAAAACTCAAATCTGGAAAAGTTCAGTTATTCTGTGAGTGGTTAAGGGGACCTATCTTCTCTTGTCAACTCACAAGGATTGGTCAATATTAAGACATTAACCACTCACAGAATAACTGAACTTTTCCAGATTTAAGTTTTGCAACTATATAAGATAAGAGTTGCTGTTAGTTGGTTTCATTCTCAGTATATGGAGAGATCTCATGCCTTGTAAGTCTTTTAGGGCTGAGTAGGGATGTGACTAGTCTTGCATACAGAGAGATCAGGGATCTTCTCTTGGAATCCCTAAGAGTTACACACTAGGGACAAGGTTTCATTTATAGTTGAACAGGATGTGCTGGTCTAGAATGACATCTTTGTGATTCTGGCTCATGCTGCATCAGTATCTTTCAGCTCAGGAACAAGAAATGCATACAGTGAGGAATAGCAAGTGATAGCAGGGAATCCAGATACATAAGTAATCATATAAGACTCTCAGAATTGAGGAGGACGTTATGATGTTTGTATAATCAAAATATATAAATATAGAAGAATTTAACTAAGCCTTGTATAGCCATTATATAAACTATTGGGCAACCAATTTTTTAAGTGTATTAAAGAATCTGTCATAATAAAGAAAAATGCTTATAATAGTATCTGTTTCTATGATAAACTTGTGAAATGTTCCTTAATTGTATTCAGATTCTTTTCTAAATAGAGATATTGTAGGGAGGCTTTAAAAAAAAAATCTATTCTTTAAGAAGAAAAAGATGGAAGAACTCACATTTCTTGAGAATTTATGAGGGAGACATAGTTTGTGAAGTTATTTCATTTAATTGGAAAACTGACTATTGTTTTCCTTTCTCAGACTTGCTTGGATTATAAAGATATGCCAGAGTATATAAGAGGTAGTGTCTATAACAACAGGATCCTTCAGGAACACATAGGCACTCTGTTTCAGGTATACTCATTTCCTAACTCAGTATGTTGCAGGCTTCCAGCCCAAACCTGTGTATCTGCTATATGGCCCATTTCCTGCAATACATCTCCCATCTTTTCTCCTTCCATCTTAAAATTTTTTTTTTTCTTTTTTGAGTCTGAGTCTTGCTGTGTTGCCAAGGCTGGAGTACAGTGGCAGGATCACAGCTCACTATAGCCATGATCTCCTGGGCTCAGGTGATTTTTCCATATCAACCTCCTGAGTAGCTGGGACTACAGGTGTGTGCCACCAGCCACATTTGGCTAATTAAAACAAATTTTGTATTATTTTTGTAAAGACAAACTCTTACTGTGTTGCCCAGGCTGGCCCCAAACTCCTGGACTCAAGCAACTCTCCTGCCTTGGCCTCCAAATTGCTGAGGTTACAGGCATGAGCCACCACGCCCAGCCTAAATTTTCTTTCATTTCAGTTATAATATATGATTTGCCATTACAGAGATCAGTGATGTTCAATGACGTATCCATAGACTTCTCTCGTGAAGAGTGGGAATATCTGAACTTGGAACAGAGGGACTTGTATAGAGATGTAATGCTGGAAAACTACAGCAACTTGGTCTCACTGGGTAAGATTATCTGTCTGTAGGAATTCAGACTGTTCCTGTAACATCAGATTTTCCCTCTTGAAATTTCAATAATATCTTCCGAGAAACTACCTAAATTTTTGCTACCTGTTCTCAAGGGAAAGGCTTGAGCTTTATTTCGTTGGAAGTGAATGTGCTCCATTAAGCATATTCATCTTCCCCATTCTTAAGTGACCCTCTGGGTGATTTATAGTCTTACCAGTGTCAAAGAAAACAGATTTCACTTTGTGTTTTAACTCAGAATTGCTTTAGATGTTTTGTTATTTGTTGGTATGCCCATAAGGGAAATAGCTAGACCCTGTTCCTTGATTTTTCTCTCACTGTCAAAAGAACACATACAATTTATATATTGGTAAAATGGATCAACAGGATTTAGTTACAATTTAAGAAAAACTCGTTCCTTTTGTTAATAAAGAAATATATTCGGTTTTACCTACTTTTATGATTGAAAATTTAAAATTCAAGAATTTTGTTCTAGTGTTTTATTGTACGGCAGAATGAAAATAGTTAATAATAATGTATTGTACGGTGGTTCGGCCTGTAATCCCGCGCCTTTGGGAGGCTGAGGTGAGTGGATTGCCTGAGCCCGCGGGTTCGAGACCCGCCTGGGCAGCGAGACCTCATCTCTACAATAAATCAAAAAATCAGCCGGGCGTGGTAGCGCATGCCTGTAATTCCGGCTACTTGGAAGGCTGAGGCGGAAGGATCGCCGGAGCCCAGCAGGTGGAGGCTGCGGTGGCCGGGAGTGGCCACTGCACTCCAGTCTGGGTGACCGAGTGAGACTCCAACTCAAAAAAAAATAAAATAATGTATTGTAGATTTCAGAATAGCTTCAAGAGAGGATTTCAAATGTTCCTACAACAGAGAAATGGTAAATATTTGAGGTATAGATATGTTAATTATCTTGATTTGATCATTCCCCAATGTTAACATATATTAAAACATTACATTGTACTCTGTAAACATATACAATGATTATTTCTCAATTAAACATTTTTTAAAAGACAATTATTGATGAATGTATGGAAAACTGGTACCCTTACACATTGCCAGTGGGGATGGAAGATGTTGTAGATATGACATTGTACTTCCCCTCTTAAGTTATCTAACCAAGAGAAATGAAAACATATGTCTATACAAAATGTATATGGATTCCTGGCAGCATTATTCGTGTCTAAAAATTGAAAACAATTTTTCATAAATTTTTTTTTATCATAAATGGGTAAATAAAATCCAGTATAGCCATATAATGGAAGATTATTTCAGCAATAAGAAGGAACAAACTACTGATACTTGCTGCAGCATATTGGAATATCTGAAACAATATACTAAATGATAGAAGCCAGATGCAAAAGATTGTTGATTATTGTATGATTCTATTTATATGCAATGTACAGAAAAGGCAAATCTGTGGAGACAAAAAGCAGATCAGTGGTTGTCGGTAGGTGGGAATAGGAATGACTGCCAGTGAACAGAAGGGATATTTTCTGGGTGATGGAATTGCTCTAAATTTGGATTGTGGTTATGTTTGCACAACCCTGTAAATTTACTAAAAATTATTATATTATGGTATGTAAATTAAATCTCAATAAAGCTGTTTAAACAACTTAAGAACTTTGCATTTAACATTGTATGAATATCCAAGAAATAACAGAAAATGTTCTGAGAAGCTTCTTGTTTTCCTCTCAGCAAAATAGCAACAACTAATAGCTGATGTACTTGGTGTGTACTCTAGGCAATTTAGATATAGATATATATTAATATAATCTTCACAATAGTTGTATAAGATAGGTACTATTATTATAGTAATTTTATAGATGAGGAAAAGATAGTGTAGAAGTAACTTGCCCAAGGTCACACAGCTAGGATGTGGCTCAGGCAGGATTGGAGTCAGGCAGTCTGTAATCTCAATCGCTATTGCCTCCGAAGAAGGAACACTTGTATGAATATACATTTTAAAAAGATCTTTTCACTCCCTCTCTAATCTCTGTTTATTATATAAACCTTAATATGAATATTTTTAAACCATTTGTTCCCTTTTTGTTTTAAAGACTTTATTAATTACTATTTTGACCTTCAGTTTGTATGAATTTAACTAAGACTGAATCAAAGTAATCGTAAATTTATTTTTTCTTTATCACCTTACATTTCTTTTCTTCTAAGCAGGATACTTTATTTCTAAACCAGATGTGATTTCCTTATTGGAACAAGGAGAAGAGCCCTGGAAAGTTGTGAGGAAAGGAAGAAGACGATATCCAGGTAAGTCAGGGCCAATCAGGCAGGGGGAAGTCATCATCAGGAAACCCCAACTAGTTGAGGAAGAAGTACCCCCTTCTGATAGTGTTTAGAAAGCCCTATTTAAAGGTTCATGGCTCAAGAAGCAAAGGTCTTAGTTAGACCTAGGAAATAAATTAAGGACTTAGCCGGGGATACTAAAAGAGCTACTTGTTATCCCATTACCATTCTTTTTGTTTGTTTGTTCTTTCCAATATTTTTTCCCTTTGAAGGGGCTAGGAGGTGAGAAGGAACTCTCTTTGTTCACTATTGATAACTATTCTATATTATTATTTAGTTGCTTTCTTCTCTTGCGTTTACAGATAGATAACCTCTAAGCTGGGCATTATAACAGGCACTGGTGATATAGTGGTAAATAACTAATAAAGTCCCTGTCCCCTGGAATTTACCCTGTAATAAGAGAAATATAGTAACTAAATAAATAGAAAAGATAATATTAGGTAATGAGAGTGCTATGAAGAAAAGTAAGCAGAGTAAGGGGATAGAGAATGCTGTGAGATGGGAAGACTATTTTGGTTATAATTAAGGAAGACTTTTTTCTTCCCAACTTTTTAAATAAATTTTTTAATGGGAACTAAGACTTCAGAAAAATGGTATGCTTGATATAATAATATATGATTTATCAACAACTAAAGTTTCATATGAATTACTCTAGAAGATAGATCCTGGATCACAGAATATCATTCTTATTTGCCTTTTCCATCTATGCATCTATCTATCTTCACATTAAGAAATATGGATGTAATAGACTTTAGGCAGAATGATCCCTTGGTTTAGCTTCTAGCTCTGTGCGTCTCCTTTTGCAACTCTTGTTTTAAAAAGGTCCTTAAAAATTCATTATATAGAGACATATTTCATAATTTTGTATTTTGTCCTCTGTATATTGAGGTCTGACTGAAGAGACTCATTTTAGGGTAATAATTCTTATTTTTAACCACAGGGCTATTTTAGTCAATGCCCATACTGTTTATATTGTATATCTTCTGACTTACTTTCTACCAATGGAAAGAAAAGCATTCTTTTCCCCCGAAATCTTAAACTATTTTCTTATTCACATTCAGGTAATTAAATGACATTTACAATTACTAACACTCAAAGAAAATGAAATGCAAGTTTCCAAGTAAATAAAGTAATACCAGTTTAGTCAGGAAGCATTTAGTCAAAATAACACCAGTTGGCTCAAAGTTAGACGTCTTAAACAAGACCATTCATTATTTTCTTCTTTTATATTCTTCCTTTAAGTTTTACTAAAGTATGACATGCATACAGAAAAGTGGACAGATTATTTTTTTGAGGAGGTGATATTTGAGGAGAGACATGGAATACGGGCTCAAGTTATGTGATTCTCTGGGAGAAGAGCATCCTGAGCAAACATAAAAGGTCTGAGTGGGGAGTTAGCCTTGTTTGAGGAATTACAAGAAGGCCGTGATGGCCGGATGTGGTGGCTCAGTTATGTAGTCTCAGCACTTTAAGAGGCCAAGGTGGGAGGATCTCTTGAGCCTAGGTGTTTGAGACCAGCCTACGCAACATAGTGAGACCTTGTCTCTACAAAAAAAATTTAAAAAATTATCCGAGCCTGGTGACACATGTCTGTAGTCCCAGCTACTCAGGAGGGTAAGGCAGAAGGATCGCCTGATCCCAGAATGTTGAGGCTGTGGTAAGCTATGATTGTTCCACTGTTTTCTAGCCTGGGCAACAGAGTAAGACCCTAACTCAAAAAAAAAAAAAAAAAAAAAAAAATAGAAGGCCATGATAGCCAGAGCAGGGGAAGGGACAGTAATAAGACAAGATCAGAGTTAACCAAGGACCAGATAATGCAATCACTAAGAGAAACTGGAAGTTGTGGTCTGCTTGTGTTTTATTTTTATTTTTTATTTTATTTTTCAGGCGGGTCTCGAACCCGTGGGCTCAGGCAATCCACTCACCTCGGCCTCCCAAAGTGCTGGGATTACAGGCTGAGCCACGGAGCCCAGCCCCACTTACTCCATTTATAATCCCATCAGCATTTTTTTTTAGCGGTACCTCCATACATACCATGAGTCTTAAGTTTTTTACTACTTCCTGTCATTGCCATTCTTATCCAAACCACCATTACATATAGACTGAACAACTGAAATTGCCTCCATGCTGGTCCTTTCTGCTTTTATAATCAACCAGAGGGATCATTTTAAAACACAAGCAGGCCGGGCTCGATAGCTCACCTGTAATTCCAGCACTTTAGAAGGCCAAGGCAAGTGAACTGTCTGAGCCCGAGGGTTCGAGACCAGCCTGGCAACTTGGTGAGACCTCGTCTCTACAATAAATAAAAAATAAATAAATAAATAAATAAATGGAGTAAGTGGGAAAGAATGATATAGGAGGAAGAGATAAGAGTGACTTGAATAACTTCATGAATGGAAGCACAATTTGCTAAAAAGGGGGAGAAGACAGGAACAGCAAGTTGGAAGGTCGATGTTAAAAGTTTCTGTGTGGAGCTGGACTCGGTGGCTCAGCCTGTAATCCCAGCACTTTGGGAGACTGAGGTGAGTGGACTGCCTGAGCCTTCGGGTTCGAGACCCGCCTGGGCAACTTGGTGAGACCTCATCTCTACAATAAAATAAAAAAAATTAGCCGGGTGTGGTAGTGCGCGCCTGTAGTTCCAGCTCCTTGGAAGGCTGAGGTGGAAGGATCTCCGGAGCCCAGCAGGTCGAGGCTGCGGTGGCTGGGAGTGGCCACTGCACTCTAGTCTGGGTGACAGAGTGAGACTCCAACTCAAAAAAAAAAAAAAAAAGTTTCTGTTTGGAATATTTTAAGTTTGTGATGTTTATCATTCATCTTATTTGAGATGTTGAATATGTATACCTAGAGTTCAGGAGAGATGACAGCCTTATATACATTTGACTGTCTTTACATTATGACTGGAATTTAAGTCTGTGGGTCTGAATGTGATCAACTAGGGAAGGCATGCAGATAGAAGAAAGCAGATAAGGCCAATTCATGGGACACTCTGCTATTTATATCTTTGAAAATCACCCATTAAGTCACTCTAATCAGATTTACATCCTGATTCCACTGAAAGTATTCTTGACATGGTCACCAGAACTCCATCTTGCTAGAACCTGGAGTCAATTCTCAGTTCTCATTCTCTGCTCCCTCTATCACAGAATGTTTCCTTTTGTTTTTATTTTATCTCAGTAGCTGCTCCTTCTCTGTCTCCTTTGTTGTCTCCTCTTTTTTTCTTAATTTTTTTTTTTTTTGGTAGCAGTGTCTCACTGTGTCAGCCAGGCTGGAATGCAGTGGTACACTCATGGCTACCACAGCCTCGACCTGCTGGGTTCAGGCAATCCTTCTACCTCATCAGCCTTTCAAGTAATTGGAACCATAGGCACGTGCCGCCACACCTGACTAATTTTTTGGTTAATTGTAGAGAGAAGGCCTCGCCAAGTTGCCCAGGATGGTCTCAAACTCCTGGGCTTAGGCAGTCCTCTGGCGTCTGCCTCCCAACGTGCTGGGATTACAGGCTCAAGCCACGGTGCCCAGGTTTCTCTTAATTTTGTACAGTTGAGATTTCTAGAAATGTGGCCAGCTTTTCAAAGTATTCAATTTGGTTATCATAGAATCGGTTGTTTTCTCATAGTTATTCATGAGTTTAAATAATATTTAATTAAATGAGATACTTTCAGAAAAATGGTGAAACTGGCCTAAACTTGTTTGGAACAAGTTGCTTCTTGTGAGGTGGGAGTACTTTGTCTGCTAGGCCTGTGGATGTATCCCTAGCACATAAACAGCCACTGGCCTGTCTTTCATACCCTTCCCCTTGTCTGTTTCCTTATCTGGAGGCAAACTATAGTAGTTGCTGTCTGGTCTAAGGCAGATAGTCTGAGAATTCAACATACCTGGCCACTTTGAACATAGTAGTACCCTGTGTTTTGCCACTGTTTCTATCTATGCTTCTTGCTTAACTCAGCATGAACACCCTTGGTAGACCACTCTTGCCTTATGTAGAGAAATCTCTCTCTTGTGATTTGGTGTGTAATTTCTTTAGCATATCTAATGTTAAATGTTGCATGGGTGTTTCAAAGTTTTTCTTGTAAATATTATGTATATATTTTAAGTTCATTCTTTTTGTTACTGTTGTGAATGGGATCTTTTTTCCATTACATTTTATTGTTAAATGTATATATAAAAGCTATTGGTTTTTGTATTTTGATTTTATATCCTGCTACCTTACTAAATTCTGTTTCTATATATATGTATATGTATTTTGAGTGGAGGTCTTACTCTGTCTCCCACACTGGACGTCCTAGGCTCAAGCACTCCTTCCACCTCAGCATCTGGAGTAACTGGTACTAAAGGTGTGACCACCATACCTGGCTAATTTTTTAAATTTGTTGTAGGGATGAGGTTTTGCTGTTACCCAGGCTGGTCTCAAACTGGTCTCAAACTCTTGGGCTCAAGCAATTTTCCTGCCTCAGCCTCCCAAAATACCAGTATTACAGTTGTGAGCCACTGTGCCAGACCCATTTATATTTAAATCTCTTGAGTTTTCCAATTATGCAAGCATATCATCTGGAAATAAGGGCTTTCCTCTTTTTCTGTTTCTTCTACCTCTGATTTTTTTTCCTGACGCTTAATTGTGTTGACTATAACTCTAATAATACATAGTTAATTTTGAACCTCTTAAACAGTCTTGTAATAAACAACCCTGGATCTTTCAATATACCATTTTTTATTAGATATTTATAATTTTTACATCAGTAATCAGAAAATTGATGTGTAGTTTTCTTTTTATGAGTGATCTAACCAAAGTTAGTGCAATAATTTCACTCTGTAAAAACAGTTTGGAAGTCCTTTTTCTTCTCAGTCAAAATAGAATTTGGACGACCTATCTTTAAAACTTTAGTAATCTTTTTTTGTTGTTGTTACCCAGACTGGAGTGCAGTGGCCGCTCCCCGCCACCGCAGCCTGGACCTGCTGGGCTCTGGCGATCCTTCCGCCTCAGCCTTCTGAGTAGCCGGAATTACAGGCGCGCGCTACCACGCCCGGCTAATGTTTTTGATTTTATTGTAGAGATGAGGTCTCGCCTGCCAAGGCGGGTCTCAAACTCGCGGGCTCAGGCAATCCACTCACCTCAGCCTCCCAAAGGCGCAGGATTACAGGCTGAGCCACTGAGCCCGGCTAAAACTTTAGTAACCTTTTTAAAAGCTTTTATTCCTGGGGCAAGTGAATGGTAAGTCTGACCACATCCTCTGTTTACTCTGTGAAGATTGATCTGTTTAAACATTGTTATCTCTTCTGTGGTTAGTTGTGGTAAATTATATTTTTCGAGAAAATTATCCATTTTAGCTATGTTTTAAAATTTATTGGCAAAATCATCTATTCTCTATATTCGTGGTTCATTTCACTTTGCCATTTTTCATTTCTATATCTATACTTTCTTGCTGTTTTCATTATAATAACCATGGTTTATATTTTGCTGATTTAAAAAGATCTGTTCATGCTTTATGCACTAGTTCTTTTTTTTCTGTATTCTAAATAATTCTGCTTTTATATCAATTTTTTTCTTCTGCTTTGCTTCAGCTTTATCTTTGTTTTTTTTCTCTTTTTGAGTGGGATTATTAATGAATTTTGTCATTCATTTGTATTGCTATGTTTTAGCTTTTAAATTTTTTTCTAATATTTTATTGATACTTATATGTAGGTTTTTTCTTACAATTGTTTTCTTAAAAAAAAACCAAAAATACTATTTTAGATCTTATTTCCCTATTGACCTAAGAATTATTTAATATAGACTTTCGAATTTTCAAGCAGATTTCTTTTTGGTTCCTTTTATTTTGTTATTAATTTCTAGTTTTAGTAGAAAACTAGATTTCAGCTTTTGTAATGCAGACCATATTGTAATAATTGAAAAAAATCATCCTTTTTCTCTCTAATGCACAACTCCTTCAGCACTTAGATTTTCCTCTGACTTTTCCTCTTACCGGTTTACAATCCTCTGGTCTACATTCAACATGACCTTTGTTAGCAAGTCCTTCGCATTTAAATCACTGCAAGACCTTTTGTCTACATTACTGACTCATGAGCATGTTATGTCTTTTTTACCAAGAGTTTTGTAAGAACTTCAGTAAAGTATAGACATGTCTGAAAAATCACTGATACATGTTTCCAGAAAATACAGGCATGGCCCTGCCTATGAGAAAATGGAAGGGAGAATACATGAACAAGAGGAGGAAAGAACTAAACCAGTTGAACATTTACAAAATGGATGTGTAATAGAATAATTTTAAGGGGAGGTTGAGTAGGTAGAACTCCTCAATACTTTTGCTGTGGTATAGAGACAAATAAAAAATATACAACCCACAGCTACGTGAACAAAAAATGGGCAGTGCAGAGAACACTGCATTGATAATGGCATAAGCGGTGGAAGGATGCGTGGGAATATGTAACCACCTTTTCTTTTTCTTTCTTTTTTTTTTTTTTTTTTTTGAGTTGGAGTCTCACTGTCGCCCAGACTGGAGTGCAGTGGCTTCTCCCGGCCACCGCAGCCTCGACTTGCTGGGCTCCGGCGATCCTTCCGCCTCAGCCTTCCGAGTAGCTGGAACTACAGGCGAGCGCTACCACGCCCGGCTAATTTTTTGATTTATTGTAGAGATGAGGTCTCACCAAGTTGCCCGGGCGGGTCTCGAACCCACCGGCTCAGGCAATCCACTCACCTCAGCCTCCCAAAGGTGCGGGATTACAGGCTGAGCCACCGAACCCCACTTATAACCACCTTTTCTATTCATTTATTTAGCTGAGCTAGCTTGGATGAATAAATAAAATTTTTAGTCACTGTAGTAGGGTATACAAAATCAGAGGCAGAGAAATATATTCAGAACAATATGGAAATTAATTGAGTAAAACCTAAAATACGCTTAGCATTTATTGTTTAATTGAGAGTAAAGTAGGGATTGTTTCTGTCCTTGAGGTTTATAGGTAAGAATAAGAGAATAACAACTGAAGGAGTTAAGAAATGTAAAATTTAAAAATTGAGAGATGTTATAACGACAGGGAACAGTGAATAGCAATATAGATTTAGATATGGTCAGTAAGGTCAGCCTTAAAGGAAGTGAGTTTTAATCTAAGACCTCAGGATGAGAAGGATCCTGCTGTGCAAAAGCCCAATCAGAAGATTTGTGGGAGATAGAGCAGACTGTGGAAAGTCCTGAGAGAGAAGTAAGTTAGGATGTGTTGTATGCATGTTTTATGACCCAAAAGAAGCCCTCTTCAGGTAGCAGTAAAGGGGACAGTGGTTTGAGATTATTTAATATAGGCAAGCAGAGGCCTTGTTAACAACAGTGAGTTTAGTTTTATTCTGTGAGTAAAGAGATATGAAAAAAATGTAAGTATGGATTTTTGACCTTTCATCTCCATCAGAATTATTGTGTGGTGCAGTAAATATTCTCCCAGGTCTGTAGTATCTGATCCAGGTGGTTTGAGTGACATCTAAACTTCAATATTTGTAACAAGCTACCTGGTGATTCAATCCACACCTCAATTTGACAACCAATAATTTGAAATGATACTTAATCACAAATCTCACTATTTTATATGAATGCTCATTTATCCTGGTGCTCCTTTTTGCTTTTTCCAAATTGTGTAATATTTTAGAGTTTGTGTTGCTTTTGTTTTCTTTTATTTCTACAGTACAAATTTTACTTATTTTTGAAAAAGAAAACAGCATGTGTTTGCTTTCTTGTTTAATTTTAGATTTGAAGACCAATTATGAGACCAAGAAATTATCTTCAGAAAATGACATTTATGAAATAAATTTATCACAATGGAAACTAATGGAAAGAATTAAAAGACATGGCCTTAAGGGTCTCATTTTTCAAAATGATTGGGAGTCCAAAAGAAAATCGGAAGGAAAAGAGGAACCTCAAGAAGGATATTTCGGTCAAGTGAAAATCCCATCTGAAAAAGTATCCTCTTACCAGAAACGCACATCTATTACTCCACATCAGAGAATTCATTTTGTCAATAAGCCCTACGAATGTAAGGAATGTGGGAAGGCTTTTAGAGTGCGCCAACAGCTTACTTTTCATCACAGAATTCATACTGGTGAAAAACCCTATGAATGTAAGGAGTGTGGTATGGCCTTTCGACAGACTGCACACCTTACGCGACATCAGAGACTTCATTCTGGTGAAAAGCTCTACGAATGTAAGGACTGTGGAGAAGCTTTCATATGTGGCCCAGACCTTAGAGTACATCAAAAAATTCATATTGGTGAGAAGCCCTATGAATGTAAAGAATGTGGGAAGGCCTTTAGAGTCCGAGGACAACTTACTCTCCATCAAAGGATTCATACTGGTGAGAAACCTTATGTGTGTAAAGAATGTGGAAAAGCCTTTAGACAGTATGCACACCTTACTCGACATCAGAAGCTTAATATAGCTGACAAACTCTATGAATGTAAAGAATGTGGGAAGGCCTTTTTGTGTGGCTCTGGTCTTAGAGTACATCACAAACTTCATACTGGGGAGAAACCCTATGAATGTAAGGAATGTGGGAAGGCCTTCAGAGTGCGACAACAGCTAACACTTCATCAGAGAATTCATACTGGTGAGAAACCCTATGAATGTAAGGAATGTGGAAAGACTTTTAGTCGTGGTTATCATCTTATTCTCCATCATAGAATTCATACTGGTGAAAAACCTTATGAATGTAAGGAATGCTGGAAGGCCTTTAGTCGTTACTCACAACTTATTTCACATCAGAGTATTCATATTGGTGTTAAACCCTATGACTGTAAAGAATGTGGGAAGGCCTTTAGACTACTTTCACAACTTACACAACATCAGAGTATCCATGTTGGTGAGAAACCTTATAAATGTAAGGAATGTGGAAAAGCCTTCAGGTTGCGCCAAAAACTTACTCTACATCAGAGCATTCATACTGGTGAAAAACCCTTTGAGTGTAAGGAATGTAGGAAGGCCTTTAGACTTAATTCTTCCCTTATTCAACATCTGAGAATTCATTCTGGTGAGAAACCCTATGAATGTAAGGAATGTAAGAAGGCCTTTAGACAACATTCACACCTTACTCATCATCTGAAAATTCATAATGTAAAAATATAAGTATTTGTATTCCTGTGTTATAAAACATTCTATGAATGTAGTAATTAATCTCTTTTGTTCCATACGTGCAACTGACTTGGCATAAGAGATTTTGTACCATTTAAAAAATGTGTTGATGTGATATATTCTACCATCACTCCAACCTGAAACTTTAGCACATTTGTTCTAAAAATGAATCCTGCTAGTATAGCAAATGTGGGAAACACACTTATCACCATCCCTATCCTATCACTTTCCTACATGTGTCATATTGAACAAGATGTTTAACTGCTCTGGGCTATAATTTCTTCATTTGTGAAATGGTAATATAAGATTGTGGCAAAGATAGCTGCAAATTCTTTGACGCTTTTTCCATCAAGAGGTGGAATCTGTGTCCCCTCCCTTGGCTCTGTGACTGCTTTGCCCGGTAGAATAGAGTAGAAGTACTGTTGTGCAGGTTTCTGGACCTTGGCTTTATTATAGGGTTACTTCATCCTTTGAAATACTCTCTTAAGCCCTGAATTGTTATGTTAAAAAGTTTGGCTACTTTGCTGAAGACACCACATGGAGAGACCCTGAGACTACATAGGGAGAGGCACCCTGCTGAACCCAGCCTTCCTGACATCCATCGAAACACCAGACATTTGAGAGAAAAAGTCTTGGATTCACCAGACCAGTCACCCTTTGAATGTCACTCTGTGACCTCACTTGACACCATACAGAACAAAAGAATCGACCAGCTGAGCCTCTGCCCAAATTCCTGACCCACAAAACCATGAGATATAATAAAATGGTTGTTTGAAGCCATTAAAGTTTCTCTTTTTATCCTTAATATTACTCTTTTGAGAATTAATATTTAAAGTCTATGAGCATAATTAATATAGAAATGCCTTCCACCAACATTTATTCCTTATTAAACTTCAGATATCTTATTTTCATTAAAAAATTGGAAGTAAGAAATTCTTTTTCAGTTTGTTCATTAAAAAATGGATATTCTACAATTTGTATTCTCTAGCCCTAGTAAATATCTAATTAAAAGTTAACAAAAGATAACATGAAACTATTTTAAAATTTTAAATCACCTGTATTATAGCTCCTACATTAATTTTTTTAAAAATCACTTCATTGTAGCTTTTTAAAAAATGCTAAATTGTCTATCTTTGGTCACTAGAAATCCCCTCACATTGGTTCCTTTGTCTTTTTGTCACAGCTACTCTAACCTTTAATAGTTCTTTTTTTCCCCCCGAACCAAATACAGTGATTAGCAGTGGAGCATACTAGGGCATTATTGATAAATCAAGGAAAAAAAAAAAAACTAGACTATTAATCTTGCCTTTCCTTTATGAACTTTATTTCAGACCATCAAGAAGTTGATGAAGGAAAGTTCTTTATTATTAGAGAATTCTCTTAGTAAAAAGGTCAAAGGAATAATAGAATTTGAAAATTACTCTTTTAAATTTAGGAATTAATAGTTTTTGGTGGTGATAGTTACAGACCATTACGAGAAATATTGGTAGAAAACTTACAATGGGGCAAAATGACAGAACCCAATAATCTATATTAACATCTTTAAATTAAATCAGCCAGACTATGCAGTTTTCTCTGTGAAGTAGTGGATGTACAGAACACTTGTGAAGTATTATTGCCCAAAAAAATTGATTTAGAATTACAACTTAGTCACTAGACTAAGTTTACAGGGAAGATGGGGATTAAAAGAACAAATTAGTAACACAAAGAAGCAAACAACCAAATCCACAGTTTGAGAAATTCTACAGAATTAATGACCTAATTTCTTAACCAATTCATTCAAAAAAGATATAAATGGAATTCTACAAATTAAAGAAGACTTAAGAAATATATCAAAACAGCATATGGAGCATGTTAGGATCCTTGGTATTTGTTTTAATTAGGCATGGTAAAACAGACAGACATGGAAATGATTATCATGAAGAAGAAAATTTATACTCAGATCTCTGGAAACAGGAAACATGCCATGCCATGCTGTGCCATGTGAAGAGGCACCCAGGTCTATCAGGAAGGAGGCAGAAGGTATGAGGATATGTCATGGCCCAAACCTTTATTGGGATTTTCATGGGATGGAATGGGCAAGACTGGAGTAGGCATACTGAGTAAGCTTAGGATTTGAATAATTTTAATAAGTTTAATAATTTTGAATAATTTTAGTGGGCTCTGGACTATAGGTGTGATTACTAGTTGTCCAGAACCAGGTCCTGGGGTGATTTAAAGCAGAGAGAATATTGACTTGGTGTGAGAGTTTGGAAAAGAAGATAGTTGGGTGTATGAGCTCAGGATTGGTTGGTTTGCATATCAAAGGCATGCTTGCAGGGGAGTTATTTGCTGTTTATCCTTAGCTAGCCCTGAAAGGGGCAATCCCTCCAAGATCAAGACCTCAAATGCCAGAACATCAAGAATATAGAAATAAAGGAAATTTAGTCAATACAGTACTGATTTTTAACAAATAAAATATGTTTAGACTTTGTGGAAATGCAAACATGGGTTGGGTATTAAATGATGCTAAGCAATTATTCATTTTGTTAGGAATGATGATGGGTGAATGTGTACATCTTCATGTGTTAGAGATTCACACTGAATTGAAAGGTGAAATGTCATGCCTGAGATTTGCTTTAAAATACTTAAGAAAAACAAATGGTGGGAAGGATAGATGAAACAAAATTGTGAAAAAGATTGGTAAAAGTTTAATCTGGATGGTGGATATACAAGTTTCATTGTGCTAATCATATTTTAGATATATTAGGAAATTTCTATAATTAAGTTTTTTAAGGCAGAAAATTAAAACTGAAATTTTAGACTATTTAAGGATGAATAATAATGTGTTGCCTACAAATAAAAATGTGTGGGAAATCATCAAATCTCTGTTTGGTAGAAACTTTAAAACTTAATGTATCTAGCAAACCTGGATTGGGAAATAAATATTTGTCTTGTTCACCACTCTGTTTACACACCTACAGTGCCTGTCATGTAACAGGCAATTGATAGAGTGTGTGTGTGTGTGTGTGTGTGTGTGTGTGTGTGTGTGTGTACATGTGTGTTTAAAGCATTAATTTAAGCCAGGAAAAATTGTTTTTAAAACTAAGGTAAGTAGTAGGAAGTAATTTATATGATAAAATACACTAAAGGAATAGTTAATTAAATAGTAGACTCTAACCAAGGGTGTCCTCTTTGAAAAAACCATTAATACAGAATTGGCAGTTATTGAGGACGAAAAGCTGACTCAGTTACAGTCTTATGTATGGAAAAGGTGAAATAGCTGCATCTATTCAGAAGATTTTTAAAAATTTAAGTTATATATCCCTATATACATATATTTTGATATGTTTAAAAATGTGGAATGTGCCGGGCTCAGTGGCTCAGTCTGGAATCCTGCGCCTTTGGGAGGCTGAGGTGAGTGGATTGCCTGAGCCCGCGGGTTCGAGACCCGCCTGGGCAGCAAGACCTCATCTGTACAATAAATCAAAAAAAATTAGCCAGGTGTGGTAGCGCGCACCTGTAATTCCGGCTACTTGGAAGGCTGAGGCGGAAGGATCGCCAGAGCCTAGCAGGTCGAGGCTGCGGTGGCCGGGAGTGGCCACTGCACTCCAGTCTGGGCAATGGAGTGAGACTCCAACTCAAAAAAAAAAATGTGGAATGTATTATCTAGAGAAACCTACATAATAAAAGTTGACTCAAGATACTACAGAAGATCTAAACAGATGTGTAGATGAAGGGGGAAAAGTAAATGTAGTTATGATCTTGTTTTTTAAAGACTGTAATTAATCGTTTTTCAGGCAGTACAAAGTTTTTGTTTTGTTTTTCAGTCACAATCTCTGTTGCCCAGGCTGGAGTGCAGTGTGGCATGATCATAGCTCATTGTGGCCTCAAACTCCTAAGCTAATTGGTCCTCCTGCCTCAGCTTCCTGAGTAGATGGGACTACAGGCATGTGCTACCATGCCTGGCTAACTTTTGTATTTTCTTTGTAGAGACTCACTATGATGCCTAGGCTGGTTTCAAACTTCTGGGCTCAAGCAATCCTCCTGCCTGGCCTCTCAAAGTGTGGGGATTATAGATGTGAGCCACTGAGCCTGGCCAACAATAAAAAGTTTTAAAGAATAGACAACCTCTAAAAAATTTTGCTAGATCATTCTATAAGGCAAATATCCCAGTAATAAAATTAGATGACGATACCACCTAAAAAACACAATCCAGGAAAATTTTGCTTAAGATACATGTAAACAATCTCAATAAAGTATCAGTAAATTGAACTCAGTCTATTAAAACAATTGTCAAACACAAAATGATTTTTCAGGAATACCCATGGGCCTGATCTGTTGATTTAATTATGTATCCAGATTTTAGTTTTCCTAACTTTTTTTTTTTTTTTTTTTGAGTTGGAGTCTCACTCTGTCTCCCAGACTGGAGTGCAGTGGCCGCTCCTGGCCACCGCAGCCTCGACCTACTGGACTCCGGCGATCCTTTCGCCGCCTTCCGAGTAGCTGGAACTACAGTCGCACGCTACCACACCCGGGTAATTTTTTGATTTATTGTAGAGATGAGGTCTCGCCAAGTTGCCCAGGCGGGTCTCGAACCCACAGGCTCAGGCAATTCACTCACCTCAGCCTCCCAAGGTGCGGGATTACAGGCTGAGCCACCGAGCCTGGCTAGTTTTCCTAACTTTAACAATGTAACAATGTTGGGGAAAACAATGACATGATTCAGTCCCAGTATCTTTTAGATTGTTTATCTTATTCTCATTTATCTTAGCTTTATTGATTTTACAAAAGGAATGCACAATATATATATATTTTTAAATAGAAATTCACAAAAATGATTACCTTCTGTCTTAATTTGTTTTGTGCTACCATAACATACCACAGACTGGGTGATTTACAATTTAAGAATTCATTGGCTCCTGATTCTGAAGGCTGAGCAGTCCAAGATTGAAAAGCTGGCATCTGATACTGACCTGAAGTATCATCCCATGGCAGAGAGGCAAAGAGAGGGCAAGAGAAAAAGCAAGAGGAAACTGAATCCATCATTTTATTAGGAACCCACTCCAGTGATAACAGTATTAATCCACTCATGAGGCTAGAACCCTCATGGCCTAATCACTTAATATTGTCAGATTGGGCATAAAGCTTTCCTCTAAAACTTGAGGGTGATTGTTTGGGCACACGTTCAAACTATTGCATACCTCTCCTAGCCTTCCAAATTCATGTCCTACTCACATGCAAAATGCATTCACTTCATCCTAATGGTCCCAGTTGTTCCAGCACAAACTCTGCGGCACAAAATGAAAAGTTCAGTCTCATCTAGATCAGATGTGGATGAGACTTAAGGCGTGTTTCATCATGAGGAAAAATTTTCTCTAGCTATGAGCCTGTGAAATCAAGCAAGATATCTATTTCCAGAATACAGTGGTGGGACAGGCATAGGTTAGACTTTCCCATTTCGAAAGAAGTAGGCAAGAAAAAAAAAAAGAATCACCAATACCGAGTAAGCCCAAAACCCAACAATGTGAACAACATAACTCTTAAGTCTCTGGAATAGTCTTCCTTGACTCTGTGTCCTACCTTCTGGGCACACTGGGGTGGCATGTTGAACCCCCAAGCCCTCAAGCAGCCCTACCTCTTATTGCTTTGCTGGGCTCTCACGTGTTGGGATATTGTGCCTACAGCTCTCCCAGGCTGTAGTGCACACGGGTAGCTCTTGAACAATGGGTCTCAGGAGTGGCTTTGCTACCTCTCTCCACTAGGTATGCCCCAGTGGAGGCTCTTTATAGTGCCCCTGT